AAAGTTAAAAAAAAGAGAAGGAAGAACCATGTTTCCTTTTATAGTTTCTTCTGTGATATTTTTTATAGATGCCTGACTTGTCAACAACAGAAGAAAAATAAGATAGCAGCTAGCTTTCTTTAATGTCTCATAAAATTTAACTGAATAATTCAAGCATAATTGTTAAGAAAAATAGAATTAAATAGGATATAATGGGATACATTTACAGATAAACTTTTGTTTTCTTTCTTTTTTTTGTCTTTTTGAGACAGGGTCTCGCTATGCAGTTCAGACTGGCCTTGAGCTCACTTTGTATCCCAGACTGGTCTGAACTTACAAGGATCCTCCTGCCTCAGCCTCCCAAGTGCTGGCATTACAGGCATGCGCCACCACGCCCAGCCAACTTTTGTTTTCTCTAATGTTTTGTTTCTCAGATTTAAGGAAACAGTTTTCTTTTGAGCTCTCTATTCCTTACAGAAATTTGGTAGCATATACTTCTGTGAAACATAAAAACATTCACATTTTCTCCCTACCTGATACCTCCAGAATTTGGAAACTGCTTTTTTTAAAAAAACTGTATTATTTTTATGGCAATGTAGTTGTTTTCAGTAGTTCAATGAAAATCTGGTCTCTTTATAACAAGACACAATTGGAAACACTGGTTATATTACCAAGGCTTTGATTGTTTGGAATGCTGTATTTTCAGATAGGATTAGACAGCTTTAAGGAGCTGAGATTAACATTGTGGAGTGAGTAAAGACGCACTTGAAAAAACTGGCCTGGTATCTTGAATATATGGTTTACATGTCACTCTTGCAGGTAGATAAAATTGCTACTTCCTGGAAGGCCCAGGCACTTCAGAATAACTCAGGGATGCCGAGCAGACAGGAATTCACTTAAATCTATACGTACTAGTGAAATTTGATGGTGAGTACTTGGCTTGGCTTCGTAACCTCATGAGGGTTTTAAAAGTTTAATCTGAGATTCCTTATAAAAGTTTCAGCAGCTGATGATGGTGGTGTATGCCTGTAATCCCAGCACTCAGGAGGCTGAGGCAGGAGGATTGCTGAGTTTGAGTCCAGCCTGGCTACTTAGTGAGTTTCACGGCCAGCCTGAACTACATAGTAAGACCCTGTCTCAAGAAAACAAAACAAAAAAAGTTTCAGTGAAGCAAATTTATAAGAGCCTATGAAGAAAGTCACAATTCTTGTTATATTTATGTTAATAATCAGGCCAAGTTTAATGAGACTAAAGTTATATTACAAACAAATCAGTCTTCCTTTGATTATCTTTGGTAGAAATGGGGGTAAATATATAGCGAAAATTTGTATCAAAAAAATACAGTGCTCCCATTATTAGACTTTACCTCATTGTTTCTGAGGGTTTGTTATCTACCCTTTTTTAAATAATGTACTCAATATCAGGTATTTTGCTATAGCAACACAAAACAGACTAATACAGAAAACTGGTATCAAGGAATGGGATATTTGCTATAACAGTACCTGAAAATGTGGAAGCAGGTTTGGAACTGTTGACTGGAAAAGTTGAATTTGGAGGAACTGACAGAAAGAAAAAAAAAGAAATAAAAAGAAAAGAAAGCCAGCCTAGAATGCTATAAGCAGAGCAGTGTAAGTGACTATGGCAAGGGCTCGAAGGACAAGACTAAGAATGTGCTAAAACATCTTTTAAAAATTGGGCAAATGGTCATAACAAGAATGCTGATGGAAAGTGAGAAATATTCTATTAGAAATTCCAAAATAAAGGCAATCTTTGTCACATGCACTGCAAAGAACTTACCTGCAGTGTGTCCATGCCTTAAGACTTTGTGGAAGGTGGAATTTAAATCATGGAATAGAATCTTTGGAAAAAGATATCTAAACAAAGCAGTGAAATTTTATAGTGAGACTCAAAAGATTCATAGCCTGGAGTAAAAGTGTGCTCAGAACAAAATGAGAATGCAGCTTCCTAAGATCAACATAGCTACAAGGGAGCCAGGTGCTAATAATCAACACAATGGGAAAAAGGCCTCCAGAACATCTCAAAAATCTTTGAGGCTGCCATTCCTATCATAGACCCAGAGGCCTAGAAGGACAGAATAACTTTGAAAAACAGGGCTCAGGGTGCTCTCCATAAATTTGCTACCCATGACTACCTTGGAATTGTTCTCCCTGCTTTCTTTTTTTTTTTTTTCCGGTACTGGGAATCGAACTCACGACCTTGCACTTGCCAGGCAGGCGCTGTGCCGCTGAGCTAAATCCCCAGTCCCATCTCCCTGCTTTCTAGTGAAGTGTCTCCTGGCCACTGCAGCCGTGGTTCAAGTGGGCCCAGGAATGGCTTGTGCCACTGTTCCAAAGGGAGCAAGTGGCCAACCTCAGAATACACATGATACTGAAGTGCAAAGGTTGTGGGGTCATGGTGGCTTCCACCAAGATTTCAAAGGAAAGCCTAAGGGGCTAATCAGAGGCCAGCTGCAAAGCAAAGCCACTGTAGAAATTCTCCCCTGAAATATCTAGTAAAGCTCTCAGAATAGGACTGCAACTTGATACCCCAGAAGGATAATGTCACTGGCAGCATGCAGTGCCAGCATGAAAAAGCCACAAGTGTCTACTGACTAGCAGCCACACGGGCTGCAGCCAGCAAAGCCACAGAACCACTACTGTCTAAGTCCTTGGGATCCCACCTGCTGCCAGTGTGCACAGGATGCCAGAGAAGAGAGCTGTAGGATTTAATATATATCCTGCTAGGCCCATTACTTCTTTCTCCTTCCTTATCTTTCCCTTTTGGAAAAAAGATTGTCTTGTTCCTGTCTTACTGTTGTATCTTGGAAGATTCTCTCTCTCTCTCTATTTCAATGTTGGGGCTTGAACCCAGAGCCCTAAGCATGCTGGGCAAGCATTCTGCATCCCAGTCTAATGACTTGTTATTTTACAGGCTCACATTTGACTTGATGCTAAAACCAGTTAAGATACGGGGGATTATTTACACAAATGAGTGCATTTTGCATTGTAAAAAAGACAAAACTTGGGGGCCAAAGGGCACAATGCTATGGTTTGGATATGATCTGAGTGTGTCATCCAAAGATTCATGTGCTGGAAGCATGATCCCAGTGTGGCAGTGTTGGGAGGTGGTGGAAGCCTCCTGAGTTCTCAAATTATAGGTGTGGGCTACCAACCTGGCTTTTCCTCTTTTAAAATAATGCTCTACCAGGGTATGATGGGACACAACTGTAATCCCAGCTACTTGGCAAAAGGGCCAGGGATGTAACTCAGTGGTAGACTGCCCTTGGGGTTATGTGCCCAGGAGAGAGAGGGAGAGGGAGAAGGACAGGGAGAGAGAGCGGAAGGGCGAGGGGGAGGGCGAGGGGGAGGGAGAGGGATGACAGAGAGAAAGAGAGAGAGGGAGGAGAAGAGAAAGGGCAGATCCATAAAGTCCCTTAAGTAGTGGTTACCATTATTTGAGCAAACCTACTATGTAGCAGGCAGAATCCTGAACCCTTTGTATGCTTATTCATTCATTCTCAACATAATCCCCATGAGGCAGCTATACATTATACAGAGTAGGATACTGCAGCTGAAAAATTAAGCAGTTTTACTAAGTTCACAAAATACAGGTCTCCTAGACTTTAAAAGGTATCTAAAGTAACTGGAATAACAATCGGGACTACTTCTAAACTATTTCCCAAGTGCAAGTTTCGTGTGAAAGCCACCAGCAATATCTAACAACATGCATAATTAGCCAATTAAGGACACAGGTAATGTTTTCACATATGCCACTTAATACATCTCATTTTACAAATGAGAAAGTGGAGGCTCAAAAGATCTGTGAGTCAAGAAACATTTGTTCCTCTATATACCTTGTTGCTTCCTAGCTAGGGATCACCTAAGATAGAATGCCTCTGAGTCATTGGGTCAGTAAATCAAGATAATCATTAAAGTAATTAAACCATGTAGCCAAGTGTGGTTGTGCATGTAATCTCACCATTCTGGGAGGCTGAGGCAAGAGGATCACAAATTCAAGACCAGCTTGGGCATTTTGGCGACTTAGCGAAACCTTATCTCAAAATAAAATATAAAAGGGGCTGGGGAAGAGCTCAGTGTGAAAACCCTGGGTTCATTCTCCAGTACTACAGTATTAGCAAAAAAAAAAAAAAAAAATCTATGTTGAGCTTTTTTTTTGAGACAATTAAATCTTCCACATGGCCTAGTTGACCTTGAATTTGTGGCTGATCCTCCTGCCTCACCCTCCAGAGTACAGGGATTATAGACACGCACTTACCCCCCCCCCCACCGCCCCAGGCTGTACTTGGGAATTAAATCCAGGGCCTTTGCACTGAGCTACATACTCAGGTAAAATTTTTTTTTTTAAATTCTGAGAGGATCTCACCAAGTCATTAAGTTGCCCATGCTGGACTTAAACTTGCAATCCTCCTGCTTCAGTTTAGCAGAGCGCTGGGATTACAGCTGTGTGCCACCACAGTGGACTATTTTTTTTTTCTAAAGATTAGGTGTCACTATGTTGCCCAACTGGCTATGAACTCCTAGATGCAGTGATCTTTCTGCCTCAGCCTCCCAAGTATCTGGTACTACAGGCACACAGGCATGCACACTGTGCCTATACCTTGAATATTTCTGATAGGCCTATTATTCTTCCTCAAGGGTTCTTTGCACATGCATAGTTCTACATCAGTGTCAAATGAGCTGACCCAGTTTGACATTTCTCAACTCATTGTAGACTGCTGAACAACAGGTGTGGGGATATTTCCAAACGTGTATTTTTCTTTCTTATACTTTTTTAGTGTTGAGGCTGGAACCCAGGGCCTGGTGCATGCTAGGCGTGTAGACTACCACCGAACCACATCTTCAACTCCCAAATGTACATTTTTTCCTCAGATAAACCATAAATGCAGTGCATGAGAGGAAATACTCCTTAGTAAGTTTATACATGTGGGATATTATAAAACACTGGACGTAATTTCATAAAAGACATTTAAAAGGGTACAAATGAATCCATACAATTAGATAAAAATTATTCTAAATGTATTTAAATTACAGTATTATGTGTACAGCATGCTGGAGAGTCAGTATGGCCTGAGTTTTTCCCATGAGTTGCAAATTCAGACTTCGGTTTGGAGCTAGGTTGTACTTGGGAATCACCATTTATGATTATGTGACACTAGTAAGCTCTAATTTCACTGATCCTCAACTTTGTTCTGTAAAGTACAGTTAGTAACAGACCTATCTTACAAGACTGTGTGAGTTAAAACTATCACCGTTCAAAGCCTAGTTAAGACAGTAGGTTACAATTATGGCTTCTTTGAGAGTGCGGAGAAGAGGCCTAACAGGAAATCTGTAGGAACTGTGAATCAAAAAATAACATGGGACTTGGTCAGGTTATTTTTTTTAGGTCAACATAATCTGTAAGACTAAATTTCCTAAAACTGCTAAATTATATTTGGTAAATAAGGAACCATTTTAAACCAGGTTATTGCAGTGATTATAACAGCATTTTAATAAGATAACATAGTCATTTAACACAGCCTTTATTTTCTGTTTCAAAACAAAAGTTTCAGGAAACAAAACAAAATACTTAACAATGGTTGGGTACAAATGAAATAAAAATCACAGTTTCAGAGAACCAAAATCAGACTATTTCTGAAAGGCAGATCGCTTGGTTTACCCCCCCGCCCCAAGTTAATGTCAAAAAGGATTAAAATTAAGTTTAACAACATTCTATATAATGCTACATTCCCCAATTAAGAAAGGAGAGTTCACGTATACAACTAAATGTTAAGTGTAGAAAAGTGGCTGAAATTCTGCATACTTCATAGTAAATTATGCATGAAAGTTTATCAATTGCATAAACTTCCTGAGTGGCTCCCATGCTGCACTAGGTCTACATGCTTAATATTCATATCAAACAAATTATAGCTTTAAGTGATTGAGCATGAAAGACCTGGAACAACTGTATTATATCTGCTGAGGGTATGTCCTGGACCAAGAATCTTAATCTCAAATCTTAACTTATATTGCTAAAGAAATGCAATTAAAAAAAAAAACTAGAAGGATGATAAGCAGACAGTTAGGAATTTATTTCACACTAGCACATTTTTTTGTCTCATAGCCCAGTTTCTTTCTTCCCTTTTTTCTTGACTTTTAGCCCTTCAGTTTTTTTTTTTTTTAATTAAAAGAAAACCTTCTAGAATTGGAGTTGTTCATTTGTACACTCTTCCACCTATCTCAGTTAAAAATAACTTTAGTGTAACCTAGTTACTGCCTCAGGCCCCTTCCTAAGTTGGCTGTCAAGGTCTCTGACGGTCTCTGACCAATGTTTGTGTTCATCCTTCATATAAAAAGATTATTTCCAACGTGACCTAAAAGCACTTGGCTCCATACAAATTCCATACTAATTTCACTTTAGAAGATTTTTAGCAGGTTTGAATGTTTACATTTTATAATATGGAGTTAAAAACTTTAAGCCTAGAAATTACATTTACCAAATAAATGGCCTTTTCTACACACTCTCCTTTTCTAGGTGATCTTCTAAACAAAGGGAGCCCACAATAAGCTACAGATTCAAAAAACACTCTATTCCAGAAAAATGGCCCACATAACACCTCAAATGGATCAATATTTTTCTGAACCAAATGGAAGTATGAAGTAACTGAATCCCCAACTGGTGGCAAATACACCTCAGGAATGTACTTATGCATTATAACTGAAACACAGTTTCACTAATATTAAATATGCTATAGTGTTACACAGTAAACATGTGAAACAAGGAACATCTGGTTACAAACATTTGCTGAGTTTTCAGGGGGGATGCATTTTCACTGCTTGAAGAATACAGCAAAGAAGAAAGTTAACGCCTCTATAAATTTTAGAGATTAGATAAACAATTATATAAAACCCTCACCACCAAGTACAACTCAACTTAAATGCATTCAGCCATTTTAAGGTAGCAAAATACCACTGAAAATACCTAGCAGTATGCTAGTATGTTGAATGACAGGTCATTGCTGTAGTATTTGTCAAATATTTCACTGTAGTAGTTAAAGCAATTTCAAACCATAGCCCTTTAGGCACAGAGATGAGAAATGCATCTCTAGTAAAAAGAAAATGCAAAGTTACAGGCACTGGACTGTCTAATTTAGGTACACTTTAACCATCTGTTTACTTTATAACTAATTCCTACAACTAAGCCCTATATTGCAACCAGTTAGATTTATTTCTGTGCTTGCCATTCCCAAATATCCTAAACACACTTTACATAGGCACCTAGCTCTCCTCACTTAAACATAGATTGATGGCAAAGTGATGTCCCTCTGAACTCAAGCTAATGGTTAGTGCTGGGACAAAGAGGAAAGCCAGATTTATAATCTGAAGGAATACTGAGAATCAAGGCAAAAAAGCAAGTTTCACAGGCAGTGTTTACTTGTGCATCCAAAACAGCACTGAAAATGAGGTAGATAAACAAAAGTAACTGGACTGGAATTAATCTGGAGTTCTAAGATGACAATCTACACTCAATCCAAAAGTCACAGCAGAAAAGTGCCTTTTCAACTTTCACAGATAAATTTGCTGTCAAACCATAAGAACTCATGCTTGATATAAAACTCGCAAGGAAGGGATGAAAAACAGAAAAAAAATACATATGGTTATTTTCATTAGACTTACACCAACACTGGTTTTATATTTTTATGATGTTACACCCAACTTCACAGACATAGCAGCAGGTACTTCATGATGCAATGTACACATTGCCACTTGTGGAGATACAGTACTATTCATCAGACTTGCACTTTGAGAAGTAAACATGGTGGCTGGACATACAGAGTATTCCCCAAATAAATTTTACAAGCAAAATGGTTAAGCACAACCTTTTTCTCTCCTACAAGAAAATTAAAAGGATAGTTTTGTGTGTTTTTGGAAATGAGTAGAAGGCCCTTTTACATAGTAGGCTTTGTTAAGTAAGAAGGGAATTTTTGAGCTTTACCTCAAGAGTTATTTATTTCTGGGGAGGAAAAATACCTAAGGCAAGGATGAAAACAGCACTATTATATGACGTAGGAAAAGTATAAAATAATGCAAAACCCCTAGGTAGAAAACTAGCCGATACTCAGGTCAAATCTGAATCAAATATTTAAGTAATGGAAAAAAGTAAATACCCCCCCCACAGCAATGTGAATAACTTGATTTTCTTCATTTCTGCACAAACTTACTTTTTTCTGTATTTTTAAAGGTATACACGTTATATATACATAATGTACATATAACATATATGCTAACCCAGCTACTGCTGTCAGCATGGAGACAGCAGTACACTATTCACCATCTTCAAACCTTAGAAGACTACTTTTCTTTCCAGCAAAAACCTGAAAAGATTTTCAGTATTACAAGGCACTGCAAAAGTCTGCAGGCAAACAAGAATGAGGAATTATATGTAAACAAGTGGTGACAAAATTCAGAACATATGATGTAGAGCAGCCATTATTAAATGTAATTGTACATGTCATCCATGGAGTTTTTTCATCCTGGGGTACACTGTTTAAAACCTGTAGTGTTTTTAACTTTATAGGATGTATGTCTCAATGTAGTTACATAAAGCCAACTCTTATAGTGCGACATAAATTTAAAGAATTACAGGTTTTAGGAGCATTTTTGTGCACATGAAAACACCACAATGTAAGGATGTGCATTACACTAATGTCCTAAAATCACTTTAACTTGTAAATCAAAACTGTAGAAGAAACTTAAAGAATCCATATGTAAGATTTGGGAAGACTCATCCAAAATAAAGGATATTTTATGAAAAAAAACCCTGCCTCTTATCAACAGTGACTGTCAAAATGCTGCCCACTGAATGTCACAAAGTAGACTGTGCAAAACAAAAAGAAGTACACCCATTACGTTTTCCTCATTACCTGGCCAGCCCATGGGGTATAAGTTTTAGAGGAATATGGAGGAAAATCTGTTAGCAATGTTGAGCAACAATTCAGAATATTTACTAGAAGACAGAAGTCCCAATTACGTAAACATGTTCTAGAAAAGACCTTGAAATCTTCAGAGTTGGAGGGTAAGTAGTTTGAACATGTGTATGTATGTGGTAGCCGATAAATACCATTTAAGAATTCTATTTGGGTTTCACAGACTAAGAACTAGGTAACCTTGTGACCAGCCTTTAAGAATATTCAGTTAACCTTCTAGAAAACCAAAGGTGTACATTTTGACATTGCCTCCTTTCCTCCTAAAACTGGATAAAACCCAGTAAAGTGCAACTTGACAGTGATCTCTCTTGATTCTAAAGAGGCTGCCAAACTCAACCTACAATCTAAAATCACCTAAGATACTATAAACTACTAAGAAATTATAAAAAAAATGGTTATCCAAAAAAATCTACGGGCAACTTAAATAGTATCTTTCTAGGTTCCACTATCTCACTGCAGGGGTATATACCCCACATCTCTTAGAACCCTGTAAAGCCAGTGTTTCATGTGTCAATCTCAAAACCTTACAAAACCTACTGTGTCAAGTACATTTCACTGCAGAAAAACGGATCAACAGAGGTGTAACTTGAATCCCCTTTGTTAGGAATATAAGGATTCTTCCCAAAAGAGATTCATACTAGCTGCAGTATATCCCTGGAAAAAGAATGCAAGCTAAACACCACCTCTCAGATGCTCAAACCCAATGTAATATGCACATGAGAAACAAGATATAGCTGCTTTGAATCATTACCAAAATCCTAAAGCAAGCTATTCTATCTGTAGAATCAAGGAACTGTTACAGTTCTGTTTTTTTCTTTCCCTCTGCCTCACTCAAAACAAGGCTTCACTCTTTCTGCTGTGATGACAGGAAGAAAATCACATTAAAAAGGGCTCATGTATTGGCTGACAAAGTTATTCTAATTTTATACACCAAAAACATTTCCTGTAGTAAATTACTCTGCCTGCTGTGAAAGGTAAACTGAAAATAATCATGTGAAGAATCCCACAAGACCCCAGCTATTAGAAGGTCTCACTTCATCCTTGTTTGGGGAGAAATCTAAGTAATTTTTACATATTTTAAAGAAAAGTATCATCCAGCTGCAGATAGCAACAGTTAAACATGGGGGCTTCTCAGCAGTGCATGGAAAGTATCCTGGAAATGGTAATGCTCAAGCCGAGCTTCTTAAAGCATTCTGAACAGTATTTTTAAAAAATCAAGTATCAAAGAGGATAGGATTTGAAGTGAAAAAACATCTTGGTGTGCAGTGTTCCATGTGCAAACCGCACATTTCTACAGAATGATGAGCTATATAAAGTACCACATTGGAACAACAACAACAAAATAGTTGAAAGTAAATTCAAATGAGGGAAAAATGTAGAACTCAAGAAGAAGGAACTTTCAGATCTCAGAGGTTGTTAAAATAATTGTGAAAAAAAATCTTCCTTTTTCTTCATCATCTACTCTGATTTATTTGGGACCAGGAGGAATTGTCGCTGGATTCTGCACTGGAGCTGGAAATGCCTGCAAAGTCAACCCTTGCTGGAATGGTCCCCCAGGTTGGGCAGGAATTACTACAGACTGCTGTGTTGTTCCAGAAATTCCTACCCACTGTACTGGATACCCTGTGCCCCCCACGGCATTATACTGACAAACATGGGGCATTCCATATGATGATAAGGGCCCAGGAAATGAAGGGAGTGGGAGTCCTTGTGGCAAGGAAGTTGGGACAGCTCCACGGATTTGGGACAGAGAAGGAATCCATGTTGGTGTGTAGCCCATAGTAGATGGAGTATTCTAACAAAAACAAAAATAAAAACAGAAGATCAGTTTATTTGGTATATACTTTCATCAATTTAATTCCTTCCCCTTCTTTTTGGCTTACTACTGTCATTATTATTATGAGCTACAATTTCAATAGCAAATTTCTATGTGTTAAGCATAGTTCATTTCAGTTCATTTTCGTACTTCCCTGCCTTGCCAGGTAGGCATTTTCAGATGAGAAAACAGAAGTTCAAAACTAACCCAGTAGCACTAAGCAAGTAAATAGTGAGAAGGGAATTTGAACACCGTTCTAACCAATTCAAAGGCCCATACTAAATCTCTATTTACATTTTACTTTCTCCTTTCCCAGTGTTAGACCTAGTCTTTTCATTCTATTTCCCTCTTCATGCCACTGGAATGCTCTCATATAGTGCCATAGACTGAATAGCCCTTGGTACATAATTTTTGGAGACAGAGAAGTGTGACTTATTGTACCACAGGGGAAAGAAACTGGCATATAGTAGGTGTTCACTGTTTACTTTCCTGTTTCCTTCTACTCACTACCTTAAAGTCTGACATCTCTGTTATATTCTTAGAAAATTAAACTGAAGGTGAGACAATTATATTTTTGGCAGTATTGAGAAAATTTATTCCTGCATTCCTTCTTATAGTGTACCATAATTATTCACTTAAAAGACTGCAAAAATCTCATGCAAGTGGAAACATCTCTAATGAATGTAAACAATTCTCTTGTCATCTCAAATGCCTAGTTCTTCTAATCTTTTAAACTGAATTGTCAGGTGTTAACTACACTTTCAACTTAAGTTAGGGTAAAGATTTTTAGCTTGACTCAAAAATGAATGACAATATCTCTTGAGGTGAAAAAACATTTAGTTAAAATTGAGCAATTTCTTCTTCATATCAGTGTTTTCTTTCTGTTAAATTAAAGTAAAACTAAATTTAATACTTCTAATTCAAAACAGCACATATAGTATGATCACATTTTTATACAGTTTTTTTTCCATGCGCTCATATACAAACATACAAAGTAATGTTTAACGGTGATGACAACTATTTCTGGCTGGTAGGACTTGAAGGTAGTATTTTAAAATTTGTACTTGTTTGTACTGATTAAATTCCATAATGAGCATTTTTATTTTACAAACAGTATTTTTCTTTCTTAAACAATTTTTTTTTTAAGACTGAATTAGAAAGATTATAAATCTCCTCTTGAGTATTTCAAGGGCCTCTCCAATTTAAATGCTCAAAACCAAACATGCAATCTTCCCTTACCAAAACGCAGTCTGGTCAGAGGTTCCATCTCACTGTCTGCAATTGTATCCGGTTATACAAGGCAGAAACCTTGCCTTGACACCTCCTCTCTGCCATATAGCCATTCCATCACTGAATCTTGTCCATTAAATATTTCTTGGTATTTGTTCACTTCTCTTCAACTTAGCTTCCCCTAATCTGGACTTCTGTGACTAACATCTACCCACCCCCATCCTGTCTTTTTGCTTCAGGCAGAGTGATCTTAAAACAAACAAACGAAAATACCCACAAGCCCTGTCAGGTTAATGAACCCCTTTGGGTTTCAATTGCTATCCATCTTTCTTAAAATAAAAGCAAAAATTCCTTATTATCATCACATTTATTTTGACCCTGTCTACCTTGTTTTGTTTGTTTTTTTGAGATAGGGTCTCCATATGTAGTTTAGGCTGGCCTCAAAGTCACAGCAATCCTCCTGCCTCAGTCTTCCAAGTGCAGGGATTACAGGCATGTGCCACCATGCCTGGCTCTATCTACTTCTTTAGATTCAGTTCTGCATAGACTCTTTGCTCTCTTCACTTCAGGAAAACTAGTCTTCAGTTCCTTTGTGCACCCTTCCTTATATAGGGTGTTGTTCTTTCTGCCTGGAATCATATTTCCTCCCCGCTTTCACCTAGTCCTACTCATTCTTCAGATTTTGGCTCAATCACTACTTTCTTATGGAAAATTTCCTTGACTTCTTTTTACTAGGTCAAATTTTCCTTAATGTATGGTATCATCCTTTACCTTTCTTTTGTAGTCTTTATAACAGCTGCAACTTTATATTTTTTATGCAAGTCTGTTAATGTCTGTCTCACAGGAATATAAGTTTCACAAGGATAAGAACCATACTTGAATCTACTCATGAAACCTATGTCTAGCAGTGGGCGTGGCCAAAGTAAAGGTCTTTGTACATGTTTGCTGTGAAAGCAAAAATGTCTATATAAGGCTACAGAACAGTAACATGCAAGAATATTAGTGAGATGGGCTCTCCACACAAAGATATAATTGGAACCTAAAAAATACAAAAATAGTTACTATATATAGGTACCTAACATGTAACACTTGTAAAGATACTGCTTTACATTTAATCCTCACAGCGATCCTGCAGGTATTATCCCTGTTTGGGAGACATAAAAATTGTGGCAAAAAGTGATCAAGTGACATTTTTAAAGTCACACAACTAGTAGATGACTGAGCTGATACTGGAACCCAAGTCTGTTAAAAGATCTTTCGGAGAGGGTGAGACAGGGTCTCACTATGTAGCCCAGGCTGGCCTCAAACTCATGGTGATCCTCCTGCCTGGGATTACAGATTTGCACCACCATGCCTGGTTGTTAAAAGATCTTTACTACTTTTACTCACATACTATTTTGTCTTTACCCTTCCTCTAAACATTTTTGTTATACTGCAATAAACTACCACCTGACTATTCAATAAATGCCTCCATTCACACATTACTCAGAGGGCCTCTCACTGGCAGTACAAGTATATTTATGTCTTGAAATCTGACTCTAAGGGCTTCCAAATTTTACAATAGTGATATTATCTGTGTATCAATCAGTCCCAGGAATAAAATACACAGAGCTCACAAGCAAATACTTTGCTTACTAGCTTGGGAAATCTAACATTTGAAAATTTTTCTTCAGTATTAAGAATACATTTATTTTCATACATTTTTTACTAAACTATAGAAAACTATAAACACATATGCATGTACACAAACATAACAGACACGTGTATTTTTCAATTATGAGGGTGCAGATTCTAAGCCTTAACATTTTAACAGGTTTACTTATTTTGAAAAACTGTTACTTACCAATAGAAAAGAACAAAGTAAAATAAGGCCCAAATTCCACCACCCAGCATTTTCATATCTTTCTATGCATATAAACATATATCTAATGTATATATATATATAACTTTGTGTAAATTATACTGTATATGCTCTTCTATATACCTGCCTTCTTACCACTCCAGAATGCATTATGGACATCTTTCTGCTTCAATTGCATATATACTTGGCTAAAGTCATTTGCAATAACTGGGGATTTCTTCTATAAACTCAAGACACCTTTTACAATATTTTGGCTTACCCAGCTTTAAAGTTCTTTTCCATACTAAAAAAGATAATTAAGATAACTTACTGCAATGCTGATGTGAAATATAGGATAGCTGATAGAACAGTCTAAAACAGGTGTCAACAAACTATGGCCCACCATATCTTTTCATAAAATGCTTCTTAATGGAGTAAAGCCATTTGCTTACGTATTATCTAACACTGGTTTTACACTACAATAGACCTGACTAGTTGTGGCCATCTAGCTTGGAAAATCTAAAATATTACTGTCTAGACCCTTCCTGAAAACTTGGTGACCCTTGACTGACCCTTAGATAAGGCAAATCTAGACAAGGATACAAGTCTTTATGTAATCAAGTCACACCATTTTCTCATACTAACTGTATTTTCTGTTTTCTTTTTCTTTTTGATCTTTTTGAGGCAGGATCTCACTATATAGTTCAGGCTAGTCTTGAACTTACTATGTAGTGTAGGATGGCCTCAAATTCACAGTAATCCTCCCACCTCAGCCTCCTGAGTGCTGGATTACAGGTGGGCACCACCACACCCAATTTTCTTATAGTAACTGTAACCACTGGCCTAAGTAAAATCAATTTTTATGGGTTTAGTGCTCATAAAGAGATGGGGTATAAACAACTTACTTCATATACCTTGTTCCAATTTTCCATCTCCAATTTTTGTTGACTTTGTTTAAGTTGGTTTAAACTTGGTTTAGTAAGAGAGCTTCCTACTGTTTCCTTTGTCCAGTCATCCACCAGCTTGTGTAAATCATCAGTGAACATCCCCTTCTTACTGGCTGGAGATCGCTGGCATGATGTTGTGTTACTTTCCACACTCAGTGGATCTGTAAAAAAATTAAAAAATAAAAACAAAACAAGGAGACCATGAAGAAGAATTATATGTCATAAACAGATAACTCTTCTTTGACCAATAGTGCAGTTAGCAGAACAACCCACAGGGTACAGAATGAGTACCCAGATATTATAGTTTACTTGAGACAATCCTGATTTAAAGCTGTTGTCCTGGAGTAATTACTAACAGTATCCCTTTCATTTTTAAAGGTTTCTTGATGTTTAGATGCCAAAGTAAATGGTTACTTTAAGAGAAAGTTAAATATAATAAAATCTCTAAAAATAATTACAAACTTTAATGTCTATAGCAGTTTTCTCAGGTAGATAAATACTTAGTAGAGTTAAAAAAAGAATCACAGAGCTGGAGGTATAGCTCAGAGGTAGAATGTTTGCCCAGTACACAGGAGGCCCTGGGTTTGATTCTCACACTGGAAAAAAAAAAAAACCAGAATCATAGAAAGTTTAAAATGGAGAGAACCTTAGAGGTATAATCAAAACTACTTATTGTATAATGGGGAAACTAGGCCCAGAAAAAGTAAATTGAGAAGCATCGAGTTATTTTTTTAAAAAATTTTACTGGTATATTTGTGATAGTGATTACAGTCAGTTTGGGGAATTGATACATATACATATCACATTTTTATAATATTTACTCCATCTGCTGCCTTCCCTTATTGTCTCTTCCCCAGATTCCTTTCCCATCTCTGAAGTCTCCCTCTTCTTGTTTTTTATTTCTTTTGGTACCAGGAATGGAACTAAGGACCTTGCACTTGCCAGGCAAACACTGTGCTGCTGAGCTGCATCCCCGGTCCTCCTTCCTTTTCTTAACATTTCTCTGATATTTAGCCTTCTGTGTCTGATTTATTTCACTTACTATCACAGTTTTAAGATCCATCCATTTTTCCTACAAGTGACTCAAATTTATCCTTTATGGTTGAGTAGTACTCCATTTTGTGTACATACAACATTTTCTTTTTTTTAAGCCTCTTTTTAAAATTTTAAAGACAATAATAACAAATAATGAAATGATACAGAATTTCAAAACAAGATGACAGGAAATTAACAATGGTTATTATATTGCATATTGTTATCTTCAAAGTAGTTGCTCAGATTACCAGATACAGGCATGTAAGACTGATCAAATAATATAAACACTAACTCTTCCTTTCAACGAACTAATAGAAATTAGTAGCATAGCAGGATACAAAGTCAACAGAAATCAATAGCATTCCTATACACATTTTCTTTTTATCTGTTCATCTGTTGATGGGCATGTAGGCCACTTCTATGACTTAGCTATTGTGAATTGCGCTGTTATACGCATTATTATTATTTTTTTGAGACAGGGTCTTATACTATATAGTTCAGGCCGGTCTTAAACTCACTGTGTAGCCTAGGCTGGCCTCAAACTTGTACTGATCCTGCTGCCTCAGGCTCCCAAGTGATGAGATTATAGGCATGTGCCATTGTGCCTAGCTATAAACATGGTTATGCATGTAGCACTGTAATATGATGACTTTAACTCAGAAAGATACCCAGAAGAGGTATAGCTGGAGCAAATAAAATGTCTACTTTTAGTTTTTTGAGGACTCTCCTTACTGCTTCTCATAGTGGTTGTACTAGTTTACATTCCCACCAACAGTTCAGAAGGGTTCCTTTTTCCTCACAACCTTGTCAGAATTTGTTGTTTGTTGAGTCCTTGATAATGGCCATTCTTACTGGAGTAAGATGGAATCACTGTGTGTCTGCATGTGCACACGTGTGCATGTGTGCATGCACATATATTGTGGGACTACGGATACAATGAACTAATCCCCAGCTCCCACCTGTTTTTTTTTAAAAAAAACATTTTGAGACAGGGTGTCCTAATTTGCCCACACTGGGCTCACAGTTGTGATCCTCTTGCCTCAGCCTCACAGAGTGCTGTGATTGTAGTCATGTGCCACAATGCCTGGCTTATACATTACTTTTGAGACAATTACTTAAACACAGGAGGTCATTGTCAAAGGGTTTTGAAGGATGAGTAAGAGCCAGGTGAATTAGCTAGAATTTAATTAGACAAGAGAAGCAAATCCTCTGGCTATCCTAATCACTTCTAAGGCAGCAAGCTCTTTCCTTACTTCAGTTCTGCCCTCAATACTCCTCCAAACACCTACCCAGCTCAGGGAGCACTGCCATCTCCTCCAGGAAACAGCCCTCCCTCCTGAAGATAGAGAGCCAGGAGGAGCAGAGCAGAGAGAACATTGCAGGGGTTAGTCAAATTTAGGCCAAGAGGAAGTCACCCCCTACATGGCCATTTGATCCATCAAGTCCCGCCCCTTACCTATCCACCTCCACCTGCACCTGGAAGCCCCTTAGTATTGTTTTTATTTGCATTCCCCTAAAGGCCAAAGGTACTGAACAATTTTCTTGTATTTATTGACCATTTGTACTTCTGAGAAGTACCTATTCATTTCAGTTGCCCACTTTTTTAACTGGGTCTTTTATTGGTAGGGGTCCTAAATTTTTTCAATGGTTTATGTATTCTAGATATTAGTCCTGATATGCCTGAGTTCTTATAACCAGTTACCAGGAAAGGCAGGCCAGGAACTCTAAAGCAAGGACTCTTGTCAATGTACCATGTTGACTTTCAACAAACACTGGAAAATTGGAATCACACTTTATTTTCTACCAATATTTGTTTATATTAAAATTTAAAAAGACTGTGTGTCTGGAATGAGGACACTGAAGGTTTAATGAGACTCATGAGTACTGAAGCATAAGATGCTCAAATGAAAGAAATTAATTACAGATGATTGTATCAGTGCAAAATTTCCTAATCTGAACACCATACTGTCTTTATATTAAAATGTAGTACTATTACTCATGCTTATTAAATCATTTTCATAGAAAAGATTAATAGAGTTCTACCTACTAATTTACAAACCAACAATTTACAGGGTGGGTCTAAAATCAATTTTAGACAACACGGTTCTGAAATTTCAACAACATTTCCAGGATTTAATTAGACAAGCACGTGGACCTTTTATGCACGTTATGGCCATTTTTGAAACATGAAAAATTACACAAAGTGCAAAAGACAATGCAATAAGCCAACCAAATACTTTTCTTTGCTATCTTTGAACCAATATCATGCTATTTTATAGATGGGGAAATAGACACAGAAGGTAAACAAATAGGGACATATGCTGGGGATAGAATTCAGGTTTCTTGCTGGGCATTGGGGTGCACTCCTATAATCCCAGCACTCAGGAGGCTAAAGCAGAATTGCTTGGAGCTGGGGGTCAGCCTGCGGCTACACAGTGAGTTCAAGGCCAGCCTTAATTACACAGCAAGATCCTGTCTCAAAACAAAACAAAATAACCCAAAAAACACAAAACAAAACAAAAAGAATTCAGGTTTCCTACTGTTATTGTTAGGTCAGTGTGCCTTCCACTATACCATGACATACTAAATAATAAACTGAAAATTAGATGAAGAAATTGCTTAACAAGGAAGAACATGATAATCTCCATGATGGCTTATATAGTCTGTGATTCTCTTTGAACACTGTAATACTGAAAGATTAAATTCAAGGAGGTTAAATATTAACAGGAAACATTAGTGAGAACTGCTTAATAGTGTAATGAATTGGAACATTCACAGGTAAGAGTTTTATAACAATAATGTATACTAATTTGAAGCATCATGATACACCAGAATAACATTTAAATCTTGTTGGAATTCTTAGTTTTCAAAGGCTTAAAATCTTGAGACACACAAGTAAGTTTGTAACAAAAATATCATTTTTTCTTGTTATCTGTCTGCACATTCACCTAGCTCTCTGACAACTTTGTTGAAGGAACAAATAGCACAACAAAGTTAAAGAAGATTTCAGAGGTAACACCTTTATAGATTAAAAAGAGAAGATAACTTTCATTATCCCGAAAGTTTTGGCCACTTAGCTTCCCTTAGGAGTACTTTTGTACACACTCCCTTTGGCTTCTAAAAAATATGTTGCAGACAGGTAGGTTATTTATTTATTTTGTTCTACTGGGGATTAAACGCAAGACTTTTACACTGAACTATATCCCCAGCCATTTTTTATTTTTTATTTTGAGACAGGGTCTTGCTAGGATGCTAATTTGCCCAGGCTGGGCTTGAACCTGCTATCCTCCAGCCTCAGCCTCCTATAGCATGAAAAGTAGCTTTAAATGTCATGCATTAAAGAACATTTCTGCACTAAGGAAAAACACAAGATCAGGAGTTGTGTACAACTGGAGTGGAAGAAATTATCTGGAATACTAGATTGGCACTTAGTGATGGTTGTTGCACTAGGGGCACAAGAGCCAACAACGGGAGGAAAAACTATTAACAAATTAAGTACTGTATTTAAATAGAACAGGGGCTAGGGTAATAATACTTCTAGGTAAGCAACTGAAAACTCTACACACACCCACCAAAAGTTTCTAAGAACAATTGTCACATAATAAGAAAAAAAAGGACATTTGAATGTTCTTTAGCCTAACTATGCTTTACATATGATATAGGAATTTATTGATTGATTAAAATATTCATATTATACTGTAAAAGATCACTTAATTTTTTTGTCAATCAGATTTTATTGGTACATTTTTGATACACATAATGATCACATTCATCATAGAGAATTTGTACCTGTACATGATATAACTTGATTCTTTTTTTCCCGTTCCCCTCCCCTCCTTTTAATCCCTCCCTCCCCTCTCCAGTTACACAAACTTTGTTTCCATTTTTTCATTCTTTTTTCCCTTCTTTTCTTGCCCCTTCCCCATTTGAATATTTTCTTCCTATTTCTCAATACTTAATATACAATTTGGTCCTTATTTACACTTTGTTTCTCACACCAGAGAAACAATACAGTATTTACACATATGTGTCCAATTCACTTAAGAGTATGGTCTCAAGGTGCATCCATTTACCTAGGAATGTCTCAAGCTTATTGTTCTTTATGGCAGAGTAGTACCCCATTGTA